TTTTCTTGCTTCAGTTGGAACTTTTTTTGCAAAGTTTTCAACTCTAACTACCACCAGATGAAGATTGCCTTTCGAGATAGAAGAGCGAAGAATAAATAAATGGAGGGCCACAGAAAGCACCAAGGTATGAGAGAAAAAGGAAAAGGCTTGTAAATTAGTTCTGTTGCAATGTATTTGTTTTGAGGGTGGGTGGGCATAGCACTATGTTTCATCAGTCTTGTAAATAATAGACGTCAATGAGGGCCATACTTCCCATATAAATGAGGAGCAGACTTCAGGCAAAGCATGCTCTCATTTCAGCAGCTCTTTCATATACCATCCTCTTATAGCACCCATTCACTTGTCCAATAAAGTAAACTGAAGGTATACTTCAGATAAGGTATCACTTCATTTTTTTTGACGAATCGGAATCACTTCGATGAGATTCTCACTCCACCTGTACTCGGCTTGCTTGGTGGATTGGAAATCATGTTATTTCGATCCCATAACAATTGCCGACCCTTTTAGATGAAGCGGTTGCCTTTTCGAGTGCTCTTGAAAGGCATACTGTCCCATACTTGGCTGCAAAGATCGTGTTCAGAACGTTCACCACCAGTTAGCCGAGTGTAAACGCAACTCTCGCCAATAGCGCTTCCACGGAACGTTTTCAAACAGCGAGAACTGGCTACGCCCTTATAGAAACGGTGATCAAGCAAATAACCATGCTGACGGGTTCCCTTTATCCTTTCCATACAGTTTCCTGGATTTAACCCATACCTGAATCCTAGCTTTCCTATAGAAGAAAAAACTAAGGGCCACTTCGTAGGGATTTATGCCAACACAACAGCGTTGTTAGATTCGATAGTACTCGCATTCAGAGTGCATGATGGAATTGATTTGGAGGAGATCCTCTTTGTTCAGGATGAAGCTACTACCGATCACCGTGCTCGCAGCTGTAACTGTTATTCGAGCACATGAGCCGCTAGAGGACATCAAGGATGAAGTGATCATGACTTTGCAGGAGTCACCTGAGACAAAGAAATCACTCGAGGAAAGAATCAAGGTTTATCACTTGGTCAATAGTCCTACGACTACATCTGTCCCGTAGTGTCGTCTACTTGCCTTGGTTCCACCCACACTTGGAGCTCCTAATATGAACAGAGATTTCAGCAAGAGCCGAAAATCGATTTCGTTCAAGTTAAGCCG